TTTTTTTTTTTTTGCTCTCTCGCTTCCACTTCTTGTTTTTTTCTTTTTGACAAACTACTTGTGCTTTTATTTCAATTTTTTTGTTAAAAAAGTAAAAAAAACCAGTTGATTAAAAGTTAAAAACAAAAGTTTTTTCCTGAACTTTAAAAGACGAACTTAATGTACGCATTTAAACACATAACACAGACACAGATACAGGTAACCACGCACGCCTATACAGTCATATACTACCATCAACTTCATCACCGTCATCGGCATCGGCATCGGCACCACCAACAGTACCATCGCCAAGTACAGCAATAAAAACAAGTACCGAGTTCGCAGATGCTAATTTTTGTGCTGAAGGCCACTGAGACAGAGACGAGAGTGAAAGCTCAAAAGACGAATAGAGATTTAGAAATAAAGATGCAACCTGCGAAGGATATGGAACAAAGAGGGGAGACACTGGGAGTGAAGAATAGAAAACAGAAGAAAATTTTTTTTTCTTGGTGTCCTCAAACTATCCTTTATTTCAACCAACGTTTTTCGTCAGTTTCTTTTTTTCACCTGATTTACAGAAGTGCAGTGATGAAAAAATTTGAGCAGTTGGAAGATCGTGACGACGATGACGACGACGCCGACGGCGACAATTTTTTTAGCCTTTGGATTCTGTTAATAGTTGTATGTTGGCATGCAACAAACCTGTGTTGGATAATTGTAGGAATAGAAATACTAAATAGTTCAATGTTTTTTGATTGTAGAAAAGGCTGACAAAAGAAAGAAAAAGAAAATTTTTTTTTTGCTGATTTCTTATAATTCTTTTTTTTCCGCTTCTGTCTAATTTTTTCACCGCCATCGTCGTCTTCTCCTTTTTTTTCGCCGTCATTCTTCTTCTCTTTTGTCGCCAATTCTATAATTCAAATAAGTAGAAAAAAAATTTTACGGAAAAACATTTAGAAAAGTTAGCGTTTTTTCAACAAAAAAAAAGAAATAAAAAAAAAAATAAATAATAATAAAAGAATTTAGTTGCAAAAAAAGTGGAGAGAAAAACAATAAATTTTCAAACGTTCTATTGTTCTTTTTTTTTTCAAAGCAAACAGTTGATACCTTTAGTGTTGTTGCCATTGCTCATTGACTGTCAGTGATCTCTACTTAACTGTTTACCTAATATGTTCATTCTTTAAAAAGTAAGAGAAAACAGAAAACTAATAACTGTGTAAATGAAGTAAAAAACTAATATTTTGTTAAAAAAAAAGCTCAGTTGTACTCATCTATTTTTTTCTATAGCTGCTGTTTTTTCTTCTTTCTTTTCACTTTCTATATCAATTATCAAAGTCGACGAGACGAAGACTAAAATAACTCTTGTTCCTCCGTTCCAAAAAAAAATTTATTTTTATTACTTTTCTTGCGCAGTTCGAGAAAAATACTTTGGCAGCAATAAAAACGTCAAAAGAAAATTGGGAAAAGAAAAAGCTGAAAGCTTTATTAAAAATAACGCACCTTTTTTTTTTATTGTTATTTGCCTTTTTTACAAACATCTTTTTTATTTCAGCAAACATAAATGAAATAACTAATATTTGTATACTTCAGTACACATATTAATTGCATAAATTTTAGACGATTTTATAATTACAGTGAAAAACGAAAAGAAAGACATTCTTGTTTTGAGTTTCAATTTTCTTGTGCTTTTATACGATGTATCTAAAAAAAAAAAAGGAGGATTATTAACAAATCTTAATAAACGCATTTTGGAATAAATTTAGTACTTTTTAATCGGCATTCGCTTCTTATTTTTATTTTTCCTTTTTAAGACATCGTTGTTAGTTGAACCTTGGCCGTTGCCACCGATGTTATGTGGTGAATTCAATGTTCGTTATCTGCTGATTATCTGTTCCCGGATTCTAACATAACTTCTCTCTTTGTTTTTTATTTTTTGACAGTAATTTCAGATGTCACCTCTTTGGATTACGTTAGTGCTGCTGGCGTTAACCAGGAGTGCTGATGGATTCGGCTGCTGTCTAGTTCCATGCACTTGCCCGCAGCCAGCACCCCCACCAG